CATTCCTTTTGTTACAGTCACCTCTATCTAGCCAGGTTATAACAATCTGCAAAGGAAAAGCACTATGTATAGTGGAAAGAATATTGGAGTAGTAAGAAATTTCACAGGATATCTTAATTGCTCTGTATTATACACTAAGGACCAAATTTGACTGACGGGCGCGAGTTCAATGTGTACGAGACCGAAGAGCGAGGAGTGTGTAAGGCACATATGTTAGAAAGAGATAGAAGCCGGCTGGATAGCGAAGCTCATCGCCACGTTGCCTAGCAACGCTGACGCAGAAGGTGTGTAATCTGCCGCGTTGCCAATGTCTTACACCAGTTCCTTGAATTAAGACGCATTCTGAAATATGCGTAAGTTTATTCTTTACGCCCAAATAATGGTTTTCTTTTGAGCGTACACATTTTTGAATTGTGTCGATTCTGTTTAGAAATGATTCCCGGTCGGTCGTAACAGCGCTCCTTTCCATGTTAGGAGGAAATGAAAAGTAATTGTAAAAGAAATTAAAACACTAACTTGCATCAAAAGTGAAATAAATAAATACAGTACAGTCCCCGCTAATCCGAACACGGCTAATCCAAACATCCGGTTGATCCGAACTGCTCCGCGGCGAAAATTTTATTATTTCAAGGACGAAAATCGGTGAATATTTCAATATAAAACAGTGTAAACCTTAGTTCAAAACAGTTCTTCATATAATATTTACGCACTGTACATCAAGTTATGGTACAAATTTTAAAATGGAAATAAACTACAGAACAGAAACACTAATGTTTAGTATGAAAAATTGTCAATGACCGAGCTAATCCGTTACTCCGGTCAATCCGAACAATCACGTAATCCGAACAGGGGTCGGTCCGATATTGTTCGGATTATCGGGACTGTAATTCTAATCAAAATGAAATCAACAATCACTCCTCCAAAGTGGTAGCCCTTCCGTGGGGGTAACCGTAAAAACGAGTCTCCACATATCCCCACAAAAAGAAATCTTTTGGGCGCCAAGTCAGGAGATCCCGCTGGCCATTGTTATGTTTCCATGAGTAGAGATCAGGCGTCCGGGAAAAAATGCTTCAAAAAATTCCCGAACCTCTCACGCGTTGTGAGCAGGCAGCCATCTTCTTGAAACAAATATCATAAAGGTTGATGCCCAGGAAAATAACGCGGAAAATTTAAGGTACCATTAATGGAAAAAGGCACCCAAATATTAACTTTTGAGATACTGCGTCCTTAATGGTAAACTTGAATGTTTGTTTTCTCTTGACCAATTCCTAAGGTTTTGGGGATTATGATGTCCATGAAAAGAAAAGCTGGATTCGTCCGAAAACAATATGTTTTGTAGAAATCGGTCAACGTTGTCAACGATTTCTCTCATGGAATCACAAAACTCTATTCTCCTGGTATGATCAGCGGAAAATATCTCTGCGTTTTTTCGGTACTTAAATGGCTTGTATCCATACTTCTTCAAAATACGCCTGACTGTACTGTCCGGGACACAGACTTCTGATGCGGTACTACTCGAACAATGTTGGGGTTCCTCTCTCTTCGACATAACCACAAAGAGCGTCGTCCCTGGCAACCTTGTCCTCTGAAACATTTTCTTCCTCTTCAAGAGTTGATGCAGCCACGATTGACGAAGTTTCGGAAAATGCTGCTAACCGTGGTCGGACTAGGGCAAGGTTGGTCAGTGTACGTAAAGACAAACTATTATACAAAAGGATAAAATCTCCAAAAAAAACTATAGAGAAATAAGCCTACATAAATTTGAATAACAGCTGTCTTTCCAGTTCTTCTGTAGTTTGTGACCCATTTTGATTAAGGTTTAAAGATAGATATGATTGTTATATCCAAGCCGACTGGTGATTTTTTCAGATTTTACTTATGGTTTGTTATTGTTACAAAAACAAAGAAATTAATGATGATGGATCCTCGAGTACTAAGAATTCTGGACGTAAACTCACTCCACTCTCGGAATGTCCGGGTGGAGGGTGGACCCGAGGGAACAACATCGAAGATAAAATTTGTTTCACGAACATCTGCGGGATTGACAGCAACATTGATGCTGTTCATGACTACGTGCAATTCAATCGTCCCGCCATACTTTTCTTGGCGGATACAAAAATCTCAGACCGATTAACCATCTTAACTTCCCAAATTACGAGGTGCACTCAAATCTGAGAAAGAACGGGGGAGTTGTGGCCTTTGTCCGCAGCAGTCTTTTCTGTTTCAGAGATATTTCTCTGGGATCAGACTCGAAGGACATTCTGTGGCTTCGCCTCAACTCTAAAACATCCCCAAATTTATTTGCTGTCTTTACGCTCTCCTCGGACCATAACTGGGATGACCTACTTGAACACCGCGCAGTCAAGATCGACTTCTTGAACATCAATCACCCCGTTTCAGAGGTAGTTCTCCTCGGTGATTTCAATGCCCATAATGAGCTTTGGCTGGGCTCAAACAAGACCGATGCAGCAGGTCGTGCAGTTGAAGCGTTCGCTCTTACTGTCCCTTACAGCACTGCTATCCTGTCGCCCCTGGGTAATTCAGACCACGGTGTTGTGGAGGTTAGGTTTCGGTCAGAACCCGCTGTGGCAGCAGAAACTCGCACAGGCCGCAAAATTTGGCATTACGGACATGTCGACTGGGAGGGGCTCAGAGACTTCTTCTCTACCTTTCATTGAAGAGAAGCCTGTTTCACTGACACAACGGAAAAGGGTTTAACCTGTGTGCATATATGTGCATTCATTTCGGGCCTGATGAAACCAACAAGTAGAAATACGTATTGCTCGGGTTACCTAGCCTATTTTCTGCTTGAATCCACTTTCCTTCTTTTGCTGATTTTGCCCATTATTTTCCTATTTTT